TCTATTTTCTCTAAAATTTTATTTAACTAATCGCTTCACAACCATAATTATTTCTTTTTCTTTTTATTTTTATTTCTTTATTTTATTTTCTTTTTTAACTTTTCACTTAATTAAGAATTTCTTTTAATTTTAAATTCATTTCTCATCACTGTCCAAGAATTCCTAAGTCTTTGGATTTATTTTCTGGTTTCGTCTCCTCATAATTTTCAATAACTTAGGTTCACTACTTATAAGTTCGGGTTCTATTTTTCATTGAAAATTAAATCAGTATCAATTCAAATTTTAAAATACACATAAATTAATAAAATACATACAATTTCAAAATCTGAATCCATGTTCAGAATCAAAAATACTTATACTCCTGCGCAACAATCTTCTTGGATCCGCCTGGACGTCCTAATTTTCTGTACACGCACAACACAAATTAATTAATATAATTTAAGTACTAAACAAAACTAATTTAATCAAAATTACGAATTTCAATGACAACCCGTCAGATACCAAAAAATATCGAGATCTATACCTGAAGAAGGCCTTTCGGCTTCCCGTTCAGCAGATCGAATTTTCGTATTCAAGGAAGACTTTTCAACTTCTCGAACAGTGAATTGGAATCCCAAAAGGGTGAATCCGGTCTTTATTCCTGAGGAAGGCCCCTCGACTTCCACTAGTGGGTCGGTTTCCCACTCCCAAGGAAGGCTCCTCGGTTCCCGCACGGGTGGGTGACCCGGCCGAGCTCGCGCAGCCAGCTCGAGAACAACCAACACTCCCCCGTCGCTCAACAGCCATTAAAAACACACAAAAAAAGCTTTACCTTTTCGGCGTGGGGCGATTCAGCCTCGGTTTGGCTCCTGGTGGTTTCTTCTCTTGGCCACCCTGTGGCTCCCTAGCTTGCTTGAGATTTGAATGATGAATTTTCACACCTAAAAATCAATTAGTATAAAATAGAAAAGATTCAAGGAAATTAAGGGAAGAAAAGACAAAAAACGAAACCTTTTTAACCCTTCTCGCGTCGATCTCCATCATCGCACGGTGCCTCAGCCGTTTCCTTTTTCTCCTTCCTTTCGGCTCGGGTTCCACCGTTCTCCCGCCTCTGCCTCTCTCTTCTTCCCTTTTCTTCCCTTGTGGTGGCCGTTCTCGGCTCCCCCTTCTCTTTCCCGTTCAACCACACCTCTCTTCTTCTCTCTTCTCTTCCTTTTTTTCTCCTTTCCCTTCTTCTTTTTCGGCCTCCCTCTTCCTTTACTCTCCTTCTTTCTTCTTCTCTCTCTTCCCTCTCCAGCTCGGCCACTTTTTTTTTTCTCCTTCCTCTTCTCCTTCTCCGACCTCCCTATTCTTTTCCTCTCCTTCTTTCTTCCTCTCGGCTTCCCCCGTACGACAACCTTCTCCCTTTTCTCTCCCTGAGCGGTTCCTCTCTCCTTCTCCCTCTCTCTTTTTTGGCTACTCTCACAAATGAAGAGAAACCCTAAAATTTTTCGTTTTTATACCAATTTTTCCAACCGTTAGATCTCGCTAGGTTGATTTAGGCCGTCCGTTCTCCATTAAATCTCAGCCATTTGATCTTCTCAGATGGTTCGATCAGGACTGTCCGCTCTCGGTTTTCTTTTTGCCCCCTGCTATTTCTATTTATTTATATTGTTAACCCCCCCCCCCCCCCCCCCCCCCCTATTCTTAGTTGTTTTCATTTAAATCCTTCAGTTTAAATAAACCTTCAAAATTAATAAAATCCTTTCATTTAAATTTCAATTCTAATTTATTAAATTTTTACATATTTTTTTATTTAATTTAGGAGTTGGATGTTACATTAAAAATTAGAATTCAATTATGTGTCCAAAATATAGGAACTATATTATATTTTTATTAAATTAATGAACTTTGATGTCAACCAAGTCCAAAATTCAAAAACTTAGCCGAAGTTTATCTAATAAAAACTATAGAATTTAGTTAAAAGATTTTTGCACATCGACATTATCAGTTTTAACCTGCATCATGTCAAAGCTGGGCCATATGCTTATTCCACAGTGGTGATTTGGGGGGCTAATCTAGCAAAATCATAAATAAATTGATATAATCTGCATACTGCTACTTACACTGGTATGCTGATCAGGCAAAATCAGGTTTTTCTATCTTTCAACCTTCTACATTTTGATAAATAATTTAACAATACAAAGATGCCCATATGATATAATTGCAATGTGCAATACTTAAGAGATATATAAAATTATTTAGTTATGTATTCAGATATAATATTAAAGAATGTAAAATAAATATGTGTATGTGCGTGTGTGATGTCAATGCCATGTGAGGTAGCAAATTCTGAATGTAGCATTTCTAAAATGTGCAAAAGTCTGAGTAAAATTTGATGGGTTATAAGTGTGCTCTTAAATAAAATCTCAAGGTAAAAGAACACTCTTTTTTGTCTTTTAAAGGAAAAGTTGGATTTGGTCATGTAATTTCCAAAAGATGAATCTCCGAAACTTCTCTTGGATCATATTCCCAGCTTTGAACAAAGGATTTATGTTCTACTTTTTCAATTCTAAACTTAAAATGGTATCCAATATTTACATGTTGCTCTGCATGAACAATCAAAACAAAAGCAAGAAATTGAACAAACACCCACCAGTCAGTTTCTGATCAGGACCCCAGTTGGAGTTCTCCGAATTCAGCGAGCAATGCAGGGCCTCCAAACCCAACAAGAAATCGGGCTAACCCTTCCAGAAAAACAGCAGCCTGGTAATCGCTCATGGCGCCAATAATCTCCAAAATCACGCTCCTTCTCAACCTGTTTGCATCCAGAAAGACGCTCACCATCTCCTCCATCTCCACATTCATTGTCTCAGCAACCGCCATTTTCTTCCCCTCGCTCGCGACCCAATTGTTTACGACAGCGGCTACAAATTTTTCTTGCGCCTTCCTGATCCTATCAACCAGAGCAGGAACCATGAGTCTCAAGCCGCATTCTATTTGGTCGAGGCGGGTGATCAAGTGTCTTGATGGGTCGGTCCAAGGAGGCAGAGTTTCTTGGTTGGATCCATCAAGAAAGGACCTGAGAAGATTGGTGAAGAGATAAGGGTGGAGATCTCCGAGGAAGAGGAAGGGGGTAGCGTGGTTCCAAGAAGGGAAGAGAAGGTGAGGGATTGTGGGTGGGGAAGCGGCATGATCGAGGGAGTGGTAGTAAGAGAGAATGTGGTGGAGGAGAAGATCAGTGCGAGAGGAGAGGAGAGTGGGGGAAGAAGAAGAGAGGGAGTGGCGGAGGAGAGGGAGGAGTTTGTGGTTGAGAGTATGCAACCAGTCGGCGTAGTAGTCCTTGAATGGGAGTCTCACTTTTGATTTCTTCCGAGAGAAAATAGAGAAAGGGCTTGGCATCCTTGGAGGTTTCAAGATTGTTGCCACTGTTTTCTTGCCTGCGAACTACATTTACAGGTATGACAAGCCGGTATCTCTCTCAGGAGACAAGTACATGTATACGTATGAAACGTAATAACTAAATAGAGGATGGTAGGTGTTGGGGGCGTTGGACCACTTGTCATGGTTGAGGCCTGTTTTTTGTAAATAGGAACCTGTTTGGTAAAGATCCTTTCAAGTCCAACCATGAAGATGATTAACCTATGAATGAATATGATAAAAGGATAGATGGCAAGAATTTTCTTTTTTTTTATTTTAGATTTAGAAAACGTTAATTGATTGTATCTACTTTAAACAAAGAAATCTAAATCAATATAGATTTATTTATTTATTTATTTTATAAAAAAAAATCCAAAAACATTTTGGAACGAACTCAATTTAACAATTATTATGGGCATAATAAATAAAATAAAATAATAATTATTAAATTAAATATTATAAATTTATAATATATTCACGAGCACTGAGAATTGAAGTCATAAGACAAGAATTTAAAATTAATTAGAATAGGAGTTTACTAATAAACTGATTTAGTTTAATCAATTTTTAGTAAATTAATTATTTTTATTTGATTTATTTTAGTTTGAACTAATGGTGAGATCAAAATGTATTTGAATCACTCATTAAATTATATATTTTTTTGAATCCCATTGAATCATGATTAAAAATTTGACCAACTAAGTTTAATATTTTACAAGATTGTTACAAACTAAAAACTGGATTTACCATTTAAAAGAAACAACTGGTAGAAATTTATTCCGGAGAAAATAATTTCTTAAATAAAAGAAAATTACTTTTACATGAAGAAAATATCAATGTGGGTTATCCAAAAGAAAAGTGGCAAAAACGCCGCCGTATTTGTTGGGAGCTGTTTCAACGAGTGGTTGCTTTTTCCCACCGACAATAATGGTGGGTAAATCACGTTCGTATACGTCAAAAAGAAAAGATATGCCCGATTCAGAATTTGAAAACACACATTTGAAGAAGAGGATAATTTTAAGAAAAGAAAACCCAATAGAATCACCCAATAACTTTTGTAAAAAACTGTAAAAGAACACCAGTTGACGGTGTCATGTTTCACAAAAAAGTTTCTGAACTCTCCACCCTTCTCGCCTCTCCCTCCCTCGTCCTCTTTCTATGGCCTGCAAATCCACCATTTTCTTCTTCTGTTTCCTCTTGTTGGCACTCAAATCGGCATCTTCCCAACAGATCTCCACCATTGAATCAACCCAAACGGACTGCAACAACCGTTGGATCCACATCAGGAGCCTCCCTTCACGCTTCAATCTCGATCTCCTAGCAAGCTGCTCTCAATACCCTCTCTTGGACGATTTCTGCTCCCACCTCGCCAACCATGGCCTTGGCCCAAAGACCCACAACCGCTCTCATAGTTGGTACCGCACCGATCCGAACTTACTCGAGCTTCTCTTCCACCGAAGAATCCTCGAGTACCCATGTCTCACCCCCGACCCAAATCTCGCCGACGCCATTTACCTCCCTTACTATGCGTCACTTGATTCACTCAGGTACCTTTACGGCCCTGATGTCAACTCCAGCATGGAACATGGCCTCGACCTGTACCGTTTCTTGAAGCGAGACTCTCCTGAAATATGGTCTCGCCGGATGGGTCATGACCATTTCCTTCTTATGGCTAGACCCGCCTGGGATTTTTCCCAGCCGTTGACTAACGATCCTCCCATATGGGGCACCTCCTTTCTTGAATTGCCAGAGTTCTATAATGTCACTGCGCTGGTGCTTGAATCCAGAGTATGGCCATGGCAGGAACAGGCCGTGCCTTACCCGACTTCCTATCACCCCTCCAATCTGCCATTTTTCGAGTCATGGATTCAACGAGTCAGGAAGGCAAGGCGGAGCACTTTCATGCTCTTCGCCGGCGGTGGCGGAGTCTCTGCCACCCCCAACATCCGGCGGAGCATCAGAAACGAATGCCTCAACGCCACCAACCTGTCTCTAACGGATGCAGGGTACAGCAAGGTGTGCGAGATCGTTGACTGCTCAAATGGGATATGCGAGCTGGACCCTTTAAGGTACATGAAGCCGATGTTGCAGGCAAGCTTCTGTTTGCAGCCGCCAGGGGACACTCCGACGAGGCGGTCAACTTTTAATGGGATTCTTGCAGGGTGCATTCCGGTTTTCTTTGAAGAACAATCGGCAAAATCACAGTACGGATGGCATTTGCGTGAAGATGAGTACGGGCAATTCTCGGTCTCCATAGCGAAGGAAGATGTGGTGTTTAAGGGGGTAAAGATTTTGGGATGTGTTGTGTGGCAATACCTAAGAGTGAAGTGAGGGAGGGATGAGGGAGAAGGTTATACAGTTGATACCAAGAATTTATGTATAGGAGACATGGAAGTTCTATGGGTCTGAGGAGTAAGAAGGATGCCTTTGATATTGCAATTGAGGGTACTTTACACAGGATTAGGTCTAGATTACAAAATCTCTCTGCTCAATGACTCTTCTGCCATTTCTTCTTTTCTTCTTTCTTTCTTCATGTAAGTATGATTTAACTAGTATTTGCGATCGACACTGCAGGGTTAATAGAGAATGGGCCAAATCTGTATTTCATTAATATAATCAGCAAATTCAGTTTTGGTGTTCATTTAATGCCTTGAATTAAAATCGAGTTGCTGTGATTTATTGTTCTTGTGTGCCTTCCATTAAGATCAAACCATGAACTAGTTCCCGTTTCGGTACTGAAAACTATACTGCTCTTACAAATTAATTTATTTTTGTTTTATTACAACTAAGTCCCTGTAAATTTTAACTGCTACGTAAATATCAACTTCTTTAAGGAATAAAAAGAATCATAAAAAATATTTAATGATTTAAAATGTTGATTTTAAAAGAAAATAAAAGATTATAAAACTAATTTATTCAACAAAAACAAATAGCAGTTAATCAAAACCGAATCAGTATAGCTTCAGAATGTTAGACCATCCATTGATTTTCGCTTATTCGGAGATCCTGTTTAGAATTCAGGAGGCAATGTTCTGGGTGACAGGAAGGCCAAGCAAAGCTGCAACAGCAAGATTACTTAACCCCAGCTTTGGTTTGAGCAGACTTAACTTATCAACTGCACATTATGGTGACTCAAAATTCAGGAAAATTTGAAACAATGGCAGTATAAGAGTCAAGGTAAAAGGAATATAACTATTTGTAGTGCAACTAATACAACTTTAACAAAATGCAATTTGAAGATGCTGATGAAGATCAAGGAGCTGGGATCAGCACCACATTCGAAACTTGAATGCGATAATTTGAGAACTGCTCTCATATCAATATCTCTTCTCTTCCATGCCAGGACTTGAATTGGCAGGTGAATTAATGTTTCATCCCCATCTAAGGATGGCAGAACCCCAAGTTAGACCAGCACCAAAACCTGCTGTTGCAATAGTATGCCCTCGCTTCACCTTCCCGCTTCGAACAGCTTCATCCAATGCCAATGGAATGGATGCTGCACTTGTGTTACCATAGTTTGCCAAATTCGAAATGACCCGTTCTGATGGGACTTGTAAGCGTGTTGCAACTGCATCAATGATCCTCTGGTTGGCCTGCATTTGTCAATTTTCTGTATCATTGTCTGAACAATATTTCTGTTGGCACTGCATCACCATCATCCACTTAAAAACACTTTAATGGGTAAGCTTACCTTAATTGGCACCCATTCTCATATTAAGATTTATTCTCAGGCACCAAAAAATTTTACTACCTGCCCAACATGATAATTTACTTATAATTTTAGAACTTAAATTTTACTTGGCTAAGTTACCTGAATAATGCATTCTTCTTAAGTTGGTTATAAAAAGTCATGTTTATAAATGTTAAACCCAACAAACACCTAATGTTCATTTTACGCGAGCATACTGGTGCAAAAAGGTCTGCACTTACTGGTTTGCGCATTTAGTATCTGCTTTTTCTTTGTACCAATCTCAAAGGTCAAGACAAAGTCCCATATAAATTAGACATAAGAACAGAATAACAACGGGGACAATAATGATAATGCAAGAAGAGCATTTATTTGATCAACCAGCCTCTGGACTATTTTGTTTCTTCTTTGGTCTCCTTTTGCTCTCCCAAAGGGAAAACTCTAGTCTGAACCCACAATAGAAGGCTCAGGAGGGAGGATAGTTACTACCAAGGCAGACTCGGTCAGGTACCTAACTTCCGAACTTAGAGACTAGATGTAACATTAAGATCAAAATCTACTATCTCACTTATTATCTTTGTTATTCTATATTCCATACCTGATGGAGCAGAAGCCAATCAATGCTGGATGAAGTGAGACCAGCTTTTTCTAGGGCACACTCAATTGATTGAGGCACACATCGCACAGCAAAACGGAAGACTTCTTTTCCATTCATTTGAATGCAGGAATACGAGGACTGCACTGGTGGGAAGTCTAAAACTGAACCATTGCAACCCAATGAATCCTCTGGTTCATTTTCTCTCAAAGGGGCATTTAGATGCCTGCAACAGGAGTGATAGGTTGGTCCCGTTTCTCAAAGAAAGTAAGGTAAATTTTAATGATAACATTATCAAATGCAAATAAAGCATGTACCTCCGACCATCACCATCACTATGCAAGTCAAAACTGAACAAACCATCCTCCTCAAGGTCACAGGCCTGGAGCCATGGCATTTCCAGGAACACAAAAGAAACAAGAACAGTAAATTGGACAGAAGAGAGATAGAGAAGAGAATTCAGTCTTCCTTCAACCACCGAATTAGTAAACTCATAAAATGTCAACAACATCAACCATGGTTTTGGAAACTACATAATAATCAAGAAATAAACTAGTATCATATTAAACTAAAACCAGCAAGAGGAAACTGAGATGAGAGATTCTCAAACAAGAAGATAGTTTGTTTTTCCAAGATCAGATGCCCTAACCTAAGTAAGAATTTGCAAGCAAGTAGGTGTAACACCATGGGTCTGCCCCAAAAGTGTGTGTAATTGGTGCTCATATGATCATTAGGCTACAAATATATATCACTACTTCTCCTTAGGTACGACAATGTTGGATGCGGGGTGTCACAAAGTCCCCTAACTGAAAGACCTGCATTCACACAAGTTACAAATAATAAACCATACACATTGAACCCGGATAAAACTTCAAAGACCAGAAAGGACCTACCATGTGCACAAGTAAAAATCACATCCAACATGGTGGCCGACTTGAGTTGGTTTTCACATTATATCTCCCCACCCACAAGTGTTAATGATAGTGCTCTTGGATCATTAATGATAGTGCACTTTAAAAACTACATGCTTGGGATTTGGGGAGAGTGCTACGTTCGATATTCTTGTGGAGCTTTCTTTTTAAGTAAGATTAGCTGCGCAAATAACATTATGTGCCTAGTAGAGCCACCCCACATCTTTAATTGAAGAAGAAAAGGCAGAAAATTATCAACAAAGCAAGGACTTGTTTTTCTTGTGCTTTACTGGCCATGCTTAGGAGAAACAAGTCAGTTCAGCCATGCACAATGGAGTTCTTTCATGCGTCACTAACTATATAACTAACTTCAAGTGGGGATGGGACATATATAATAATTTTGTACCTGTTGTTCCTCTCCTTCAGCCCCCCAACCAACCAAATAAAGAAAGCAAATATTAAAAGTTTAGTACATTGTGAACATATTTTTTCTTATAAACTAACAACCACTTTTGAAATAGTAATATTATGGATCCTACTTAGGATCTTGTTATGAGATTTTTTATGAACAGTATAGACTCATTAAGAGAGAACCCAAAGAACCTTGAAGACAAATTTTTGGCATATCTTATGCAGATTGCTATTCTGCTTTTATACATGAAATCAGAACCACTTCTAAGAATAATAACTTCCTATCTCTACATCCTAGAAACTACCTTCACACTGTCAATGTTTAAAGTCAACTCTTCAGATAAAACATGTGCATACATAGGCATAGATTAACCACTCAAAGCTAGGAAATTGGACTACAACAAAATTAGATAAAACATATAGCCTAATTCAAGAAAAAGCAAATAGAATTGCATCACTCAGTGAAAGAAGATAACAAAATACCATTACCTGAACTACTACAGCACCAGCAGCATCCCCAAAGAGAATGCAGGTCCCTCTATCCGTCCAGTCAACGAAACGAGAAAGTGCATCGGCCCCAATCACTAAAACATTGTGAAATCCACCTCCTGTAATGGGAAAAGATAGATATTTATATATCCCAGGATAACCACTCCTGAAATTTCATTACCGCAGTGCAAATGAATTTGTTACCCCTAATGTGACAAGCAGCTGAGACAAGACCCAAGACAAATCCGCTACATGCAGCTGTAATATCATAGGCCAGAGGATTTTTTGTGCATCCAAGTGCCTTTTGGATCTGATGAATTACCAGAAAGGCATAAAAGTATAAGCACCAAGTAAAAAAGTGTCAAATTGGTCATAACAAGAAAATAATTGTAACGGCCCCGGAAATTAAAAGCAAACGTATATATAAAAATTTTAAGTGCGGAAGCGAAATAAAATATTATGATTAACATCCCTTACAAAATAAGCAAAACGTATTAACGTATGAAAAAATAAGCTAACTAAAGTAAATAGTAGAAATGAATACTATAAGGAATATTATAAAATCTTTAGGCATCTACTCGCCGTCTTCCTGCAGAACGGACTCGGGAACCTAATCCTCCTGATCTGAAATGGTTAAATAAAGAATGAGCTACAGTAGCCCAGTAAAGATGTCACATTATCTCACTGTCACAGAAATAAAGGTTGGTAGAAAACAAAAACGACCAATGGAGCATAATTTATAACAAATTCATTTATCAATAATAAAACCATTTACTGTCCACTTATCTCGGTGAGATTCATGAAAACAACTTATGAAAACAATAACATTATAATATCATGAAATCATACGCACTCTGTAACATAACACATGTCATACTTTTAATATTTTAATCATCAGGCAACAAATTTCTTCTTTTACCAGCCTACCAGTATCCATGGGAATCCATAGGGGTCCCCGCTACACGCGAACCATTCACCTTAATAACTTAACTTCAGGGCCGTCCCCATACCCCGTCCGAATGGGCGCCAAAACCATAAACCTCAATACCCCGTCCGGTATGAGGGTGAAGCGGACCGTCCTCATACCCCGTCCGGTACGAGCGTTAAAACATTTAAAGTCTCCATATCTCGTCTGGTATGAGAGACAACGTTCCCGGTAGGGTTCCCTATGGATCCGGTCCGTCCATCATCTCCTAGAATATTTAGTGAGGCTGTCGACTTATCCATTTATCAACTCACAAACATTTTCTATTTTTCCTTAGTTTTTTGTTCCTCACATAATCATGAATATTTAAACCAGTAACGAGCATCCAACAGAGCAGGCATATCATTTGAAACTGAGTCGTCCGATCACGATTAAATTGGGAATGAATCTGGGTCGTCCATCGCAATGCGATCTGAGCCGTCCGTGCGTGATTCAATCTGGGTCGTCCGCACGCGTGAAATCTGAGCCGTCCGCACGCGCTTCTGATCTGGGCCGTCCGTGCGCACGGGAACGGATCTCACTGTCCGATCGCGCGCACGCAGATCGTCCACGTGACTCCGTTCCGCGTGGCCTCCCGCGTCAGCGTCTCTACCACGTGGCGTGTCCTGATTGGTCGGGACTGCTGACCGAGCTGCTGACGTAGTGCAATTTTTCTAAATTGCGTTTTGACCCCCGGTTTTTGATTTTCTTTTCAAAAACACCTCCAAAATCCGAATTTTCACCTCTTTTTCCCAAAATTGTTTTTAATTAAATCCCAAAAATAATGTTACCCTTTTTTATCATTATTATAATTTTTATTTCTATTTAATTAAATTAAACTAAATTTAAAACTATATAATTATTACATAATAAATCAATTAAAATAAAATAAAATAAATAAAATAATAAAAATAATAATTCCAATAATAATAATAATAAAAGAATTAGGGTGTTACAATAATGGTGAAGAGATTTGCTGAAAACTTGCCACGAGTTTTATCATTCACCATCCAGTGTCCTAGAATTCTGAACTTGATGATAATCCATTTGAAAAACTCAAATTACAGAATATAAGGATATAAAATGCAAAGAAGTTCACCTGACATGCTTTGTAATTAGTGAAAACTTAAGCATTTATCACATACCCAGAGAATAATGAACCTTATTATAATGTGTTTCAGCATACATAAGCAAATATGTTACCAAATTGATGAAAAAGATTCCTAACAAGATGCTGCAGATTATTATGAAGGTTTAACTTTGGTATATGATAGAAACAGAATGCTGTGCGAAATGCCATCAAAGAAAAAGAAATGAAACTAAGAAGCCTACTCATATGATCTACAGATAGAAGGTCACCCCTAGAGGTCATAATCCATTGTATACATGTGCTTGTGTGTGTGTCCGCGTGTGCATTAACTTTTGCACATACAAGAGGCATCCCAGTTTTGTCTAATATACTAATTACTCCAATGAACTAGCTAATCCTTTAAAAAAAAGGCCAACTATTTCAACATTGACACTAGCTAAATTTAGGTCTTCCAACACACTGGGACTGACAATATCAGTGGAATGAATTGGGCTTTATAGAAATCATGCGCGTCACTCAACCTCAAGTGTAAAAGCTGCTCTATTTCATCTCTCCACTTCAGTCAACTATAGCATACATATTAACCAAAAGGTCTAACCTGAGGGGCGCTGCCAAAAATATCCTCTGGAGTAGATGTACACATCAAGACTAGGTCAATATCGGCAGGATCTACCTCAGCCATTTTAAGAGCTTTCGTTGCTGCCTCTACTGCTAGACCTGTCAAGTTATCTTTGCCTGTATGATCAAGTACCAAATAGAAGTCGGTCAACTGTTTATGATATAAGGGGGGGGAATGCATTCAAAAATCCCATCAGTTGTAACCATGTTATTGATAACAAGACTGCATATTATTTGTTTGGCATTGGCCAAAGAGCCATATCTCAGACATTCTAAACTAAAAATCATCCAAGTCCAATATTACTCAACAACCATCAACAGACGCAAGAAATGTCCACACATGGTCTATGATCCAACCTCTACGTGCAAAAAACAAAAGCTCAATTACAAAAATGGATAAACTTTGAACAAACCCAAAGAATAGTCAGGCATGGATTTATCAAGCTAAGTTATTTTTAAAAGCCTAAATTTTTAACCTGGAAATCAAGAATCTGAGCTACTAACTGCAAAGAGTAATCTTTGTTATTCATGATCATGACCATGCCTAGCTAACAGCCTAACACTACAAGCAAGAGTATGATGTGACCTGAAAGAACACGTCGATTGTGAATCCCGGTGCGAACGGATATCCACTCATCAGAAGTATCAACCATCTTTGCTAGATCATCATTTGAAACCTGGAGAGTTGGCACTGCTGAACCACACCCAATCAACTTGCAGCCTTTGCTCAAAAGCCTATACCATTTTTTTTCCAAAAAAAAAAAGAAAGTGAAAATAGGTAGAAGAGGCAAAAGATAACCTGCTGGAGGAAAATCTCATTTCAGTTCAGAAGACGATTTTGGATATGAGCAATAGGATATCTTATATAACGAATTTCTACTTAAGTATTTCTACTACTAACATCAATAATAAACTACAAATAATCTGAACTTATAATGCAATTATAAATTACAATTTCTGCTATTTGATATATCTAGGAATCACTAGGAATGAAAGAGATCCAAACATGCTCTTCGCTACAGTAATAAAGCTTCACAGAAGAACTCAGAGCTGTCAATGAAATCAAAATAATGAAGGGAAATTTCTAATAAGTCGATGAATTATTCAACAAGAGAAGCGAGCACATTGTTAACAGTATGATTATTAAGCACTGGAAAAACTCTTCCATTCAGTATAAATAAAATATTTTTGAAGGATTCCAAGCTTATATCAAAGAACTTTGCAAAAAAGCTAATAACAGAAAAGGACCAAACTTTCCATTGAAAAGAAAGCTTAAAGCCCAATTAAGGCTTCTGTCATCAAACCTCTACCTGATAAATATATATAGTTTAATCCTCCACCTGTGCAATCTAAATACAAACTGTGAAAATAGCCACCTAACAACCAGAAAATTCAGCTTTTTCATGTTCCTTGCCAACAAAAATGATGTCAACTCTCATACATATCAAAAGATAAAAATAAAAAGAAACCAAGTAAAACAGACTTGAATTATTTCATCCATACAATCGCTGCCATTTGTATTGTTGCCTAACCTTTCTTGTTTCTTCCATACAATCTTGTATCTAGTCTGACAATCAACACCATATATATACAGGAAAATCCCTCAAAACAGTGACATGAAATCTTCCCTCCATTACACTAGTCCATCCAGAAAAGGTTTCATGGACATGCTTGCAGAACTATTTATCCGAAGATTGCTTAGCTAGGACATAGTAAATGGAGTTTCTCTCACAAGCAGAAGCCAACTAGAAACTGCGTATCTCAGGTTCAGTCCAAAGTAAATATGCTTGCATCTAAAAGAATTCAAAGATAAAGAGCAACCGGCACATGTCCTAAAGGGTTTAAAATATATAGCTTTCTAGAGATGTAAAGTAAAATGCTCTTAATTACACCTCTAAAACAGCCTTTGTATCACTTTTATTGAAAGGACTTCATCAAACAATAATAAGTCAGCTAATCGCCATTCAGATCCAGGGTCAGCAAATCTAATGATTGCTTACTGAAATCAAAATTTTATTGTTCAACTACAAATTCAAACACCCTTTGTCTCTAGCCCCGAAAATGTAGGTTGAGCTGGACACAAAAATCATTATTAGCATAGAAAAAAAAAAAAAAGAACAGCTGCCATCCCAGGCAAAAGCAAACAACTAATTCAAACATGAGATGTCTTGCGCATAAACTTCTTCCTTAAAACAGCTAAAATTCTCTTCCATGACTTTGCTTTAGTGATGCAAAAAACAAAATGATATAATTGGAGTGTTTTTGCTATTTAAGGAATATTTTCAAAATAAATGTAACTTTGAAGAATGTTTTTTTAACCGTCTCTTCAACTCTTCCGTCCTTTATTTCCCAGGCCTGAGGTAGCCTTTTGTACCGTTGATCAACTTCGAACTTTAAACTACATCATTTCTCATCCAAGAATTTATTGACCAAAAACTCTATGAATCATCATAATAAAGTTCAAAAACTTGACGAGAGCAATGATACCAATAAACATAGACGCATAATTTCCACTTCATTCCACTAAAGAAACACAGACCGTTGACCAGAAAGGTATCCGATCAAAAAGAAAATGATTTTACTTCAAAGGCCTAATAAAATCTGAAGTCTGAGTCAATTTGATACATACTAACGGAGCAGCAGACACTAACCGCAGTTGCATTAAGGAGACAATACGCATCAAAAGCAGCAAAGAAGCGCCAAATTTACGAAGAAAATAAAGGATCAGAGATAAAAGTTACCTGGGTACTCGAGATTCGGAGCGGGAAGCATGCCTTTCTGCCCCGTCAATAGCGCTCGAGCATAATACCCGCTTGAAGATTACCGGATAGGAGCAAAAGCCAGATCGTGAAATGCCAAACGGGGCCTGAATCCTGCTCCTCAGGCCTGGAAATGGCGGTGTGAACAACCCAGATGCATTGGCCATTTACAGACTCAAGGACCACACACTCTATACCAGATGAAGGGATACAGATGCAGAAATCGAAAATGAAAATATAGAGATTTGACGAGAGAGAAAAGCGAAGATCTTTTCAGCTCATATTTCAGTAAGAGAAGGGCAATGAAAAGCGTATGTAGAGACAATGAGAGAAAATCAAATGAGGAAGTAAACAAAGAAAAAAATAAATTAAAAAATGAAACAAGCAGATTTAACTGCGAGAGGAACACGAATTTCCGTTTTTTCCATGTAATTTTATTTTCAAGCTTAGCTTTGGAGGGTCCGAAAAGAGAAGAGTGGGCGATTTTGCCAACTCCATTATGAACCTTCACCCTCTCTCTCTAAGCTTAGTCATGTTTTGCTTCCCCTTTCCCAAGATTTGATGCTTCCGTGCGTTTCCACCAGGTGGCGTGGTGGTTGGGGACAACCAATCCTTGCTCAGCACGTCATCTTCCTTGTGATTACGTGGCTAATTCTCATTGGGTAAAATCTGAGAGTTCAGTGGGTCGGATGTAGACGATATTAATTTGAATATTCTCGCCTTGCGTTCTCATTGTTTATATTGTATCGTTTTCTCCTAAGTCCGTCCCTCAAAAAGTTTTGTTAGAAGTTTGTTTAGCTACTATACTTTGTATTATAAAATTTCTTCCTTTTTATATTTTTGGAATTTGTTTTACCATTTAAGAAAACACTAAAATTGGAAACTATGATATGATTTATTTCCCTTTCTTGTATTTTCATGTTTGATATCTTTCCTCTTTTTGAAACAACAGATAAAATACTATAATTAATATAAAACCTGTTAACATAGAAATATATTTTTCTTGTAATTTTCAAGCTTGAACTTCATAAAATTGTTTAATTAAGTTTTTTGAAATTCTCATATCTTCACTACAAATCTTTTAAAAAATATATATTTATTTTGCAAAGTTAATGTCATCCTAACACTAACACAAGCTCAACAAGCTTATTACAATGATATATTAATTTTTTGTTAACTATGAAAATTAATCTTTAGGTTCAATACTTATTTATTTTATTTTTTAGATTGCATATTGTACTAAAAATGTCAAATATATATAACAGATTTTTTTATAAGCATAAATGTTATTTATTTCAATACAAGACTTGTTACATAATGAATAATTACATAACCAAGTAGTTACATGATGAATAATAACTTGTTAATTTTCATTTTAAAAAACATTGCTTGTTTTCTTCAAAATGTTTTCTCCATTCTCTAGCTATAGTCATATTAAGCACTCCATGTAATGTAAACATTTTATTTTGTCCTCATAGTGATAATATATAAATCTTTTAGGTCGAACAAATCATATTCAGCATAACTTCTGAATCAATTCACAAAATATCAAAGAAATTAACATCTCAATGTCACCTACAAAATATTGAGGTATATCAAGCGTGCGCGTGGACATGGTTTATTTTATCGAAATTCTTCTGAATTGCACCTTAATGCTTACGGTAATTAGGGGGCTTGCCAAGATATCCAAAGTTTTGTTACAAAATATTATGTTTTTTGGGTATTTCTTTAATCTCTTGGAAATTAAAGAAAAAGAAACAACACATTGTTTTTCATTTTGCAAGTGAGGTTGAATATAGAACAATAGTTAGTATCTGTTGTAAACTAATCTTGGTATGATATACCTTCAATTATTTAAGAGTTGAACATGTACAAGCGGTTATCATATGTTATGATAATAAAGTTACAACGCATCTTGATATCAATCTTGTATTTCATAAAATAACAAGCCACATCAAATTCAATTGTCATTTAATGTAATGTTAATAGTGAACAAATAGCATATTTTTTTATTAGACCACTTTTAAACAGGCTTTTAACTCTCATGTGACCAATATGGGAGTAGAAAAAATCTATCCTCCATTTTGTGAGGGACATCAAAACATGTTTTACTTAAACCTGCAGGTTAAACGAGTTGTGTGACTCGAGAGGGATTTGCATATGTTGTGTATATATATGTGTATATATACATTCCTTATACTTAAAAGGAAAAATGATGTTTTTTGTATAATATGTGATTTTGCCCCTTTTTTACCTTAGGTATATAGGCTTTGTGAAAAAAAAAAATTGCAACAAGCATCAAGAAATTAAAAAAAAAAACGATATTAGGGTTTCTCAAACTCTCCATCTCACCCGTGTGTTTTTCTTTGTCTCTTTCTTGATTCTCCGATTTTTTCTTTCTGATTCTTGAAGATTTATTTTCTTCTATCATTCTATACAAGATTTGCTAATTAGTATTTAAAAATATTATACTAATTCTAAATAGAAAAATAAATTTCTTCAAGCATCTTTGCTTTGGGAGATAATATTACAAGATTCTCTTATATTTTTATATTCATATCAAATTCATGCATGATTTTTTAATAAAAGAAATTAGCCTTATACATTTTATATTGTATTAAATAACATCGCGTGATTGTTTTCTTTTTTCTAAAAAAAGTATTTTATGTAATTATATATTAACTTTAATAGAATATTCTTTTGATAAATACTATATATGTTGTTTTCTAAACATAATTTTTAAGTCAAGAAAAAGTAAGATAATTTTGCAGTGAACAACAAATGAATGCAAAAACCTTAGGAAGATTATAACTAAATTCAACTTTTTAAAATTTAAAAACAAGATTTGACAAATGTAGAGACCTAAAATTTAATAAATATGGAAATATTGAATCAATAAAATAGTAGTGGGAGCAATTTAGAGTTTAAGATTTACATTTCTTACACAATAATTCGGGATGTCCAATAGGGTTATGAAAATGTCTCTTCAAGAAAGTTCTTAATAACGGAATAAGTAAATAAAAGTAAATACAACTAAAATTTCTACGGAGTTAACCTCCGCTGGACAGCTCTGATGAGATGCAAGAGGCACCTTTTATTCACAACTTTTTTGTTGCTCAGGATCTGACTCTTGGTCTTCCTAATCTGAAATTGTTAAATAAGGAGAATGAGATATACTAATCTAGTAAGAATATCACGCTTAACACCGATACAGAAAACTAAAGATTAGTAAAACTCGTAAAACAACCAATAAAACCATTATTTCTTTTTAAATAAATTCATTAAATATAAAAAAAAAACTATTATTTTTGTACTTACCGTTATGAGTTTCCAAAACCAACCTATGAAGACAATAAACAGGATAACATTTTATTTCACATTTAAATAAACAATAACAGTAACTTACATTCTTACTCGCTTACCAGTACATCTTGGGGTCCATAGGGATCCCTCCTACGCGTGGACTTAATATCCAATTTATTAATTAACTGGTCGTCCTCATATATTATCCGGTAATAAACGCCAAATATACTACCACCTCGATACCTCTCCGGTAATGAGAGTGATCTATAC